CGCAATATTTGTCGGCCTTGATTTTTCTTGCTTTTTGAAGGAAATTTAAATAGAAGTCTTATGGATGATTTATCTGTATAGAACAGCGATTTTACCGCTTGATCAGGTCAGCGGGAAGGGCTTGCTCAGGGAAAATCCAGTTCTTGTAGACAGCGGAAGACATCTCCATGGAATACTTTGCTGGGAAAAAAGTCGCCTCCAGGATTCCACCCGCATTGATCAAAACCTGCCTGGCAAATGCGTTTATGTTCATTGTGTCGCGGAAATGGGGATGCAAAAGCTTGTGGATTGGGTGAAGCACGCTCAGCTGTCTATTTGTTGCAATCACAAATGGTTCAATCGCCGCGTGAGTATTCAACCTGCAGTAAGAATCAAGAAAATTAATCAATATGGAGGAAATAAATAGACTTTTTTCCCCTTCTTTCTATAGTTGAATGCTCCTTAGAAATCCTTACCAGTGGCTGATGAGTTGATGATAGCCTGAGTCGTTAACTGCCACATAAGCTTTAGCCAGCTGCCAGATGGAACCTTCGACGCCTTGATCAGCCGGTGTGTACACCTTGCTTATTGCGCCAAACTCGTCTCCCTCGGGATGTGGCAAGCTAAGCTCTATTGCCAACGGCTTCAGGGTACTGTCATCCTTCAAGAAGAGGAGTGTTCGAGAAGCATACGTCTTGGTGTTAGTTGTGTTTATCCGCCTCAGATACGGCATGATTGCGTCATGGTGATCCAATATGAACAATTTGTTCATCTTGATAGCCTGCATTTGTTATGCGTCATTTCAATTTGAATACACACGAACTTAAATGAGCTTGCCATCATCTTTTAAGCAAGTTTGAGTATATGGACACTCTTAGTGATGTGGAAAGCCACGATGTGAGCTGCAATGACGGTACCTGTTCGACAGTTAATCCATTCAATTGCTTCTGAATGAGATCTTCCCTAATTGAACTGCTCTGGTTGCCATATATTTTAGGGTCTAGCGTGCTTGCCGGAGGGAATTCCTGAAATCAATAAAAATATTTAATCAACTAGACAACCGATGGAACTCCATTCCGCACTTCATGTTAATATTAACTGAAATAGTCTCAGCTGTAACACAAAAGATATTTTTATTTACCTCGAGACGGCGAATCACCACAGGGTTGACTCCAGCGAGCATTTCTCTATAGAATTCTACATCGGTCCTCCAGGCAGTCTTATCCTCTGCGCAGCATGATTGCTAAACGTTAGGAAAACTTGAGCCCTTAGCCTCCAACTAATCAGATGAAAAAGGCCTCAAAGATATATATCCATTACCTTTGATCACTTGAGGCATGGGGTACTCGAGAAGCCCTTCCCCGTCGGTCCGGACAAGTTCCTTGATCATCTCCAGGGGAATGTTCTCCTTCAGACTCTCGAGCAAAGGGCTGGGAAGCTTGATACCGCCTTCGTAGAGCTTGAGCACGTCCTGGAAGGAGTCGAACTCATTGGGTGTGCTGTCGCATATAGACTCTAGCTCGGGCTTCAGTAATTGAGCCACGGCTTTTAGAGAGTAAGCAAGGAAGTCAGACATCTTTATGTGGCCAAACCGTTCGTCCCTAGGAACGTATATGTTTAGGCTCATGAGCATAGGCACCCTGCTCTCACTATTCGGATCTATCAATAACATTGTGAAAATTCAGTAAAATATACTTACAAAGGAAGCATCTTAGTCAAAAAAAAAAATGAAGCCATAACAATCTCACATCGAGTTGGAGATTCAATGAAATGAGCGCATTATCTAACCTGCCTTAGTCGGCGGTCGACCGGTCCTTCCTCTGCGAGGATAGGGATATTCAGCAGATCCTCCTAGAACAGGGCGGGCATACTTCGGGCCCTTGTCTGGATTGCCCAAATCGTTGTAGTAAGCATAGTCGTACACCCTCTCCCACTCCTGAAGCTCTCCCGTTCCGTCTCCTCTCAAGCTAATTAACTCTTCCTCTCGGTACTTCGTTAGAGGCGCGGGAGTTTGGCTCGGAAGATATGTCTGCAATAACATGCTATCGTATTAGAGACAGCCTAAGGAACCCTGTCCAATCATATTACTAGTTCATCAGACAGAATAGAATACAGTCCGAAAGTGAAATGCCTTGAGCCAATATAAAGTGCAATTCCTAAGCGAAATGCCCCACGGAAAGCTCACGAGATGCTAAAACTGGCTAAAAGTAGAGTATAACCTAGAGAAATCCTAGAAGTGAGATTCTACTACACATTATCTTTTCGGGAGGCTAGGACCGTTTGAAAAGTCACTACCTTCTGACCAATTTTCTGCATCAGCTAATTCTTTACAACTACTATATGTAAAACAAGAATTAAGTCTTCATACTTTTTATTTTTTTCCTATTGAGACTCTGGAAGCAAATCATAAATCGCGACTATAGCTTAGCTTCATCAATCAAATTATCGTGATCGAACCTTGTTAGAGAAGAAGACCCGGTCCTTCTTGTACCGGTCAGCAGGGTAGACCCACGAGTTGCATACGAAGTGGACTTGGCCCTCGCCGGGCACATCTTCAAGCAAGATCGTCTTGAGGTAGAACTGACTGTGATGGTTGTTTTGTACGACGATTGCCCCAGGAACTCCCACTTCCTCCTCCCAATCGAAAGTGACCTTGAACGCTGAGTCCCCTGCCGTTAAGGGAGTGATGGTAGTGATCCATTCTTCCAGATACGCAGGCTTTCCCAATTTCCCCTGCAAACCGTTTTCTAAAAAGCACCAAAACAAAATAAAAAATGTCAATGCTTTCGATCGTTTCATCCGGGCGAATGAGAATGACATTCATCTTTAAAATGGCAAAGGGTCTGAATCCGATCGATGATCAACGCAAAGTCAATCGTGTTTTGTTTTCCAAATTTTAGTTCGTTCACACTGATATTATGTTGTTCTATAATCTTCTTGCTGTCACAAGCATGGTGCAGTTTCAACAAACAAGACCTGATCTTGTGCTCAAAACCCAAAAGGAAAGAATAAGGACCCGAGCTTGTGCTCAATGAAGTGATTTCAGAAAGCCCATCTTTGCAAATACCCGGCACAAATTTCCAATTAAAAGTGACAAATGACAGCTTATAGTATTGGCCAATAACCAGGGATTAACTTCAAGAACTGCCAATGTCATGCACCATTGGTTGATCAGGTGGTGTGGTGCTGGTACATGACATGAGGAAAATCACCTTATCTACTTCATTATACAGTGAAGAAGACGATCAGATCTGAGCACTCCTGCATCGTCACTGATGACGATGTCCCATCATATTCAATTCGCGCATCATCTTCCTGATGCAAACGCGAACCTAACCTCTCGACCAAAACCCGATTCAACCATTTTCACAGACGAATGCCAACTTTAACCGACGATGAGATCTTAGCTCTGTTAGACTGTTACCGACATGCATGGAGAGAAAAACCACACGTAGTCATGCAAACAAAAAATACCTTAAATACAAGAAACATTTTCTGTCAATAATGGGAAATTTGTTTGGTCAGAAACAGCGAAAAAGAAGATGGAGAACTTGAGATTTGCGCCTTTGGTGGGTTTGACCATTTTCGACCTACTTCTGCCTCGGAACTGAAAACAGCGTTACACGATAAAGATTGAAGAATATCTATCCTACGGCTATGGGACGGGACATGGATCGGAGAGAGAGAAACGTAAAGCGATAGCTTTTTTTCTTAATCAAAAAGTACTAAAAAAAAGATAAAAAATAAAGCGTGAGTGGAAAATTCAAAATAGTCCAAAACATATAGGAAGAAGACTTTGCTTTTGTCGATTTTTTGAATTTGCACTGGATTGAGGAAAACAATTCATAATTCCGATTTAATTTCATCCGATTCTTCCAAGACATGAAAAAAGATGGACGCATATTTACTTGAATATATATATATATATTTATTGTGTGTTAATTAAAAATAAGACCAAGGTTTTTTTAAAATAGAGGAGGAAAGAGAATAAGTAACAGCGCCCGATGCAGGTGCTAAAATAAGACCCAATCAACTTGGGACCACATGGTCAAACCTTAAAACCAAGTCAAGATATTTAACCTAGTTCGGGCGGCCGGTGGGAGGCTTCGCGAAGAAAATCGTCGCTCCGTCCGCCCTCGCCGACGAAACCCTAGCCTTGAGGCAGGGCCTGCTGTTCATGAAAAGTCAGAGGGAAGCTTCGCCCAGCGTACTGAACGAAGGAAGCGTACTGATAGAACGAAGAAATCTAGTGAAGATTGAGTCAGACTGTACTTTGCTGGAGAGATACATCACGGGTCGGGCTGAAACTCCATGGGCCATCCAAACATTAATCAAAGATTGAACAAACCTCTTGGACTGCTTAGAGGGTGTCTCAGTAACTTCTTGTTCGAGAGAAGAAAACCGGGCTGACGATTGGGTAGCAAAAGCCCACCGGAACGATTCATTACTTATGAACTGGCTGTCTACTATCCCCATTTCTCTATTTTCGTTGTTATGTAATGACATGGGACCATGCTAAGGTAAACTTACTTTTTAGTAATGAGAGAAGTATTTATCGACCAAAAAAAAAATGTTCTAGATTTTCGGTTTGGTTTTTTTATTTCCTTCTCGGATCAATAATTTTCAGAAATTAATGTAGTTCTGTTTTATTTAGAAAATAAAAGTTTGATTTAAAAGTTCTCTCACATATGAGAGAATCCAACCCATAGTGTAAACACATTGATGCCAATACTGAACCTACTGGGAGCTCAATGGTCGAACTAGATGAATATGCAGAATTTGTCGAAAAATAATGTGTGCATAGTAGAGTTATCCTATCGACAAATATGCCGAAATTTAAGTTTGACCAATCACAATTCAGATAACGAAAAATTATAATCTTTTGTAAGTTCATCAAGATTCCACATGTTCTCTAAAGATTGCACAGAAAAGATAACACTTCGGAAGATAATTTCAGTACGGAATCTCGTGTGCAGTGCGAGAACATCGTGCCACAGAACCAAAAAGCTCCCACAAATATGTGCTATGTTCTTGTCGACAACACGCCGTAGGTAAAGCGAAGACGCGCATGTTACGCTTTCTTGAAATCTAAGCAAGAAGCTGCTTTCTTTTCCTATAATAGAACACGCGGAAACGCGAGCGACCCACTTCGACATCCGAGGTATGTTGAATACTTGTCATTATTATCTTTTCTTTTGTGGGGAAGAAGATCGCTTATCGTGATGACGAAGAGTTTAAATTTTTGCCATTCATCAGATTTTGTGGACAGAAATGCACAGCACAGTGTAGTACCATGAAAGGTCACCGAAAGAACTTGTTTTCGAAAGGGACGACAAGAACATTGTGTAGAAGAGGGTCATGACTGACTCACCGGGGTCGCCATAGACGGCGCTCACGAGTTGCAGAGAGACCTTCTGACCCAACAGCTCGTGGATGCTATCGAGGACCGACGCATTGAAGTCATTGAAGTCGAGGACGTTCTTCTTCATCAGCACCACGGTCCCCCTGACCTTCTTGGACCCGCCCGCCTTGTCGCCGCCATCGAGGGCGTGCAGTATCCCGTGAAACACCTTATCCATTCCGAAGAATTTATGAAACCTTTCTTGCGAAGTCGATGGGATGAAAGGAAGAGAAGGATCGGTAATGAAAAGGATGAAGAAGGGGGTGCGTTGCGATGGAGGTATTTATAAAGGAAAAGTTCGACCCTATGGCATCACCAAGAAGCTTCGCTCGTCTACGGGAGACTTGGAATTTCTTTCCTTTTTTACCTTGTTCCTTTTTTCCACGGTCTTAAAGACGTATTTTCATGTATACTTAATAGGAAATATTTGATTTGTAAAGCAAAAGAAGTGGATCAGTCCCTTGAAAACCTAACTTTCCTCATTTGATTGCAAGATTGGTTATCTTAGGTAGTAAGGATGAGTATGATCTGAGTTGGCAGGTTCTACCTTGGAACTAGGAATCATCCATTAAAGATCAATTCCGAAAAATTGGAATCGAGAATCGCCCATTGGTTCCATAAATCTACTCGGGAACCGGATCACCTCCCTATAAAATTACATTCATCAATCAATACCATAGTGAACCTAGTTTCTATGTGAGTACTTCTTCGGTTTCATCACGCAATTAATAAAAAAAGTACTAATTCTATGCGAATACATTGAGACAAAATTATTCTCAGGGGAAGCAAACCAAAAGCCATTCTAAAGAAACATTTCATCACTTCATCTAATAAGAGTTTTCCTTGTTAGTTTCCAGAATCATTGGATTTGTCCAGGCATGTTTCTTATTGTGAAATCAAATTAGCAGATTTCACAATATAATTACAACATTGAATTTTTTTTAATTATATATACCGATTAGGTTCGATAGGCAATTCCACGTCTGGAACCGGGAATTAGACTGGTACTCACCGGTTCCGGTAAATTGGAACCGGGAATCGGACCCGTCCTCATGGGAACTACCAATTCCAGGTCAATCCAGTCTGATTCTAAGCGGTTCCCAATTTCTTTGCACACCCTTAATCTTGTGCACTCGTATAATAATATTTTTGAATAGATTTTTCCCCTTCTTCTTCTTTTCCAAACGAAGAGAGAAATTGGGTTGGCTTTGGTTGAATAGATAGACCAAACCTTGGGAAGATGGCACGCAATTCCAGGCGCTGATGACCATACCATGCACGATCTAAATGAGCCATAAGGCTTTGGAGTTTAATTAATTTAACTTAACGCAGAGGAAGAGCACGACCTTGAAGAATCCGCGATTTCAATAGTGGCAACCAAACGACCCGTTTGGGGAAGACGACCCCGCAGAGACTTAGGTGATGATTAAGGGATAATGACGTGATTAGCACGCGGCTTTGAATCTAGTGGCATGCCTAAATCCTTGGTTATCTTTTGTGAATTGTATTCGTTTGAGATTATCCGAGATGACCAGACGAGGCCCAAACCTATGTTACTTGGAAGACCGTATGACGGGGGAATTGAGCATTATTGGATCAAAAGAGAGAGAGAGAGGATGACAAAAGGCACGGAAGTTTGACAATTCATAGCAATGTCACTTTCGGGTAAAGGTTATCTTATCTTCTATCTCAAGAGAAACGGAGGATTTTCAAAGGCGGTGATGTTATCTTCCGGGTAAATGGTGTATCCGTTTGGATGAGAGCTGATTAGACAATTCGGTGATCGCATGACATAATGTCACACGTCGAGGGAGCTTATCATGAATTTCAATGTCGTCCCATGTAAATTCTCACGAAATTCTTACATTTTAACTCATTTTTTAGGGAAGAAAAAGATAGAATACCAAATCATCAATTCCATGTAGTTCCTCTCCCGTATGTGGTTATTTTATTTATTTTCTTTCCCTAAGTCTTTGTTTTCTTTTTCGGTGCACTTCTCGTATTACTAAAACCAATTTAATAAGCTACATGCATCATCATCATCATCACATCATTGTCGCCATTCGACATCATCTGTGCCTATGGACCTCAAATCTTTCCGTACACGAGATCGGATAGGATTTTTCTTACTCGCCAATATTAGACGAGCCTTTTGAAAAAAAAAAAAACATTAGTCCAAAACTTGTCAAGTACCAATGGACCAACATATTGATCCAAAACTTGTGAAATCCAAATGAACACAAATTTTTGTTCAAATCTTGTGAAGTACCAATGGACAAAACTTTTGAGCCTCAGTGGATAAACTGGTATTGGATAGAGCCATATGATTGGTGCAGTTTTCTACTTCTAATGTTCATTTTGAAATCGAACTTACTCAAAATGTTAAGATGTCAACCGATTTGAATTTGTGAAAAACACGTAAACATTAGCATTTAAAGCCTTCTCAAACTTGTTTGTAAATTTTTCTATAAATTAAGATAATATGTATATATTGGGGATAATTACCAAAAAAAAAGTTTTGAACTTATTGTAATTATGTCAATTCAGTTCTAAACTTTTCAATTTAACTAATTTAGTCCAAAATCTTTTGATGATTTGTCAATAAAGTCTTTCTGGTCAATTTTGGCCTCCGCTCAGTGCCTGCTGTCCAAGTCAGCGATTGTCGGATGAAATTGATCGAAATGATTACATTGGCAAATCGCCAAAAAAATTTAAGACTAAATTAATCAAATTGAAAAATTTAGAATTGAATTGACACTCGTATTTAGAATTTTTTTTGGTAAATTTTTCGTATACGTAGAGAGAGAATCCAAATGTGATATCGTGTAATCTTTGATGTACGTGCTGTTTAATGCTGTAAAACGACATGCACATCAAAGTTTGTGCAGCATATCTTAAGATTTCGATCGACCAAGGACAAAACTTCTCCCGTTACTTTCCCCAAGGGAAATCAACCAACCGTGCGGCGGCCAGTCAATGATCTCACCTCAAGGAAAGGCCGCCGAGGTGGCGACACTAGCACCTCATATTTGGCTTTTCGAGAAGAACAATCCATGCACTTTTTATTTGGTATACCTAACTCTTTATAATAATAATAATAATAATAATCTAATTTTCATGCACGTATATAACATGCATGCATACCACGAAGACGACATCCATGGGACCGCATACACATGTGTAGGGTATTTATTTATTTATTTATTCATGAATTCCCACGTTGTCTTTTACTTTTTCCTCCTTGTTTTTTTTTCATTTCTTTATTGTCTTTAGCAATTAGCAGCCCCTATAGAAAGGAAGCCCCTTCAATGGAAAAGATAAGGTCGCGTCAACTCCGTCATCATTGAGGTTCGACCAAGATGGGAGAAAATATTAGGTGATCCCGGCACTCCACTTAGGCATACCACACAAGGTGGTTCCTCTCTCATTAGCCCTGCACGCTAGGCTAGCCCTGCGCCCCCCTCTCTAGAGAGGGGAGAGGGGGGCGCAGGGCTAGCCTAGCGTGCAGGGCTAATGAAAGAGAAAGAGTATTATTTTTTGTGGCATAAATTTCGCCGGCCCCACAGCACCACGTGGATCCACGTGGCGCTTCATGAATGGTCGGGGACCACGCCTACATGGAGCGCCGGGACCACCTAATATTTTCTCCCAAGATGGCCATGAACTCAAGTTTGAAATTCAAAGAGATGGATCTACGGTTCCAACTCCTAACAAAAAATTGAATTGGTCGGCACCATGGTTTTGATAATTTAAACACGAATACTTGTCCAAGACGTTCAAGTTACCATGAGACTTGTCATTTCGATGGGTCACTTATCGAACTTTCTTTCGAACTTATCTTGTGGAATCAACTGATTTTAGATAATAGTAATCAAAACATTTATTGATGCGTTGCACACACATGTATCTTTGCAATATATGGAAATTGAAATTGGGTCATTTGCATGAAAAGGCCGGAGTTGCTTCTTAGTTGGCTATTGAAAGCACACGAAATCGAAAACCATGGAAAAGTCTATCAAGTAATTGACCTTGATTAGTCTATATAGAGCGCAGCACCTAGACTTAGGTATATCACCGGTTTTGAACTTTTCACGCGCAGCGTGGTGAGGCACGGATAAGGGGCTCGCCCAGTGAAGAGGGATGCGCATGCAAAATCTGTAGCTTTAAACTAAACATTCTCCTGTGGGCGATTTATAGTTCGCCAACGCCAGATGCTCTCTTATTTTGCGTGAAATAAAAAAAAAGTAGAACTTAATAGAAATAATGATTATCGAGTTGCAATGTAGAAATCATTTTTGATGTTTTGTTTCTACTGTGATTTAATAGTTACTCCTTTTCGTTTCTAATTTACTACCTTGACGTCTCTTCTATCGTTATAAAGGATTGTCACAGTTGCAAACGGTGACTTTTGCATTACTTTTGTCTGTTTTTATACATGTATTGTTTGTGCCTATATAGTAAACATAGCTTGTGCCCACAAGCAACATGTCAAAATGGGTTTTTAACCTATTTCTTAACCTACATTTGATAGGTTCAGTTGTTATAATTATTTCAATAAATAGGTTTAGAATTGTAAAACCCAGACTATTATAAGTGTTAAATGTTTTACAGCTTATTTAAACCCAACCCACCTCTTCACTCTCTCTTACTCTCACTCGATCTCGAAATCGCTCACTCCGCGCTCTCACCTCAATTTGGGTATGAATTTTCCAAGATTAGGTTAATTAGGGTCGGGTTAGATATGGAAACGGATCAAGTCAGGTACAAGTTGTTAGATTTGTATTACATGAAAATAGATCAATTTGGATCAAACTATTTTCGACTCGACTTAAACTCGACCCAACCTACTCGTTTGATGAGTCATCAATATAATAAGTACGAGGTTTTTATCTCTTGTTTCCAACTTCGTAAATTTTTTGGAATATCAAAGCTCGAAGACGAGAGTTCATATCCCGACCCTAACACATACTTTTCTTCATGCTACTTCGATTATTTGTCGTGCCCACATTTGTCTACCTTTTCCCTTTTTGTTGTCATAGAATCCTCATGATTTCGTTAATTGACGAATGAATGAGTCTAAAGAGGTATTTCGTAGGGAAGTTGACGCATTCTGTTTGTTGAGAAGATCGCCTAAAATTGGATGGATTGAGTCGCTTGGGGGTAAATTAATGTGTAATCGTCGGTGCATTTGTTTCGCAAAATATTAATAATTTGAAAAATATTTTCCTCAAATATGATCGCTTGTATCGCTTACAAAAATAAATTGATGACATATATTTTCATAGTCCACGCAAATATTTAAACATTCATTGTTATCGATGATGAAAATATATTTATTGACTAATTATTTCAGCCGATGTAAGCAATCATCTTTAAGAAAATATTTTTCAAATTATTCATTTTTCACGAAACAAACGGAACTTGTATACGTGCTCGATTGGTGCTATTGGTGTTTCTTTCCAAATCAATCGCCCTCGTGGTCGTGGCAATAGC